CCCAGCATCCACCATCCCCATCTCTCACCAGTACCCCCCATCCCCACACCCATCCTGGTCCCCCCCCATCCCCATCACCCCCTATGTTCTCCATCCCCAGCACTCACCAGTCCCCCCCTATCCCAGCACCCACCAGTCCCCCCCATCCCAGCACCCATCCCAATCCCCCATCCCCATCACCCCTATGCTCTCCATCCCCATCTCTCACCATTCCCCCCCATCCCAGCACCCATCCTGGTCCCCCCCTATCCCAGCACCCATCCCAATCCCCCATCCCCATCACCCCCTATGTTCTCCATCCCCATCTCTCACCAGTCCCCCCCATCCCAGCACCCATCCTGGTCCCCCCCTATCCCAACTCCCATCCCAATCCCCCATCCGCATCACCCCCTATGCTCTCCATCCCCATCTCTCACCAGTCACCCTTATCCCCAGCATCCATCCTGGTCCCTCCCATCCCAGCACCCATCCCAATCCCCCATCCCCATCCGCCCCTATGTTCTCCATCCCCATCTCTCACCATTCCCCCCCATCCTAGCACCCATCCTGGTCCCTCCCATCCCAGCACCCACCCAAATCCCCCATCCCCATCACCCCCTATGTTCTCCATGCCCAGCACCCATCAGTCACCCTTATCCCCAGCATCCATCCTGGTCCCCTGTCCCTGGCATCCACCAGTCACCCCCATCCCAATCCCCCATCCCCATCACCCCCTATGTTCTCCATCCCCAGCACTCACCAGTCCCCCCCAATCCCCCCACCCATCCTGGTCCCCCCCATCCCAGCACCCATCCCAATCCCCCATCCCCATCACCCCCTATGCTCTCCATCCCCATCTCTCACCAGTCCCCCCCATCCCAGCACCCATCCTGGTCCCCCCCTATCCCAGCACCCATCCCAATCCCCCATCCCCATCACCCCCTATGCTCTCCATCCCCATCTCTCACCAGTCCCCCCCATCCCAGCACACATCCTGGTCCCCCCCCATCCCAGTACCTGTCCCAATACCCCATCCCCATCACCCCCTATGTTCTCCATCCCCATCTCTCACCATTCCCCCCTTCCCAGCACCCATCCTGGTCCCCCCATCCCAGCACCCATCCCAATCCCCCATCCCCATCCCCCCCTATGCTCCCCATCCCCATCTCTCACCAGTCCCCCATCCCAGCACCCATCCTGGTCCCCCCCCATCCCAGTACCCATCCCAATCCCCCATCCCCATCACCCCCTATGTTCTCCATCCCCATCTCTCACCAGTCCCCCCCATCCCCTCACCCATCCTGTTCCCCCCATCCCCACCCCTTACCCCTCAACCCCCCCCCTGCGCTCCCCATCCCCGGCACCCCTCGGCACACACCGGGATGTGGCTCTTGTACACGTAGTGGTCCCCGCGGCGCTTGGTGATGAGCAGGCTCTTATCGAAGAGGAACACGGCGCGCTCGTGCCGCGCGCGCTGCACCCGGAACATCCCCTCCAGCACCAGTTCCCCGTAACTGGTCAGGTCCGGCCCCTTCCAGCCCAGCAGCAGCGATTGGATCTCCTGCAGGGGCTCCATGGGCATCACCGGTTCGGCCGGCGCCGCGGTGCCGCGCCACGCACCCGGTGCCGCCGGTACCCACCTGCTGCCGGATGGCATGCTCGTGCTTGCGCTTCATGTCGTTGATGTACCAGGCCACGCAGGTCATGGTGTCGATGGCCTCCAGCACCAGCTCGTAGTCGTCACCGGATTTGTGCTCAAAGTGCTTGGCGATCTCCTGCCGGCACAGGATGCGGTGCTGGGTGCACTGGGTGCGGTGCTGGGTGTGCTGGGTGCGGTGCTGGGAGCACTGGATGCAGTGCTGGGAGCACTGGGTGCGGTGCTGGGTGCGCTGGATGCGGTGCTGGGAGCGCTGGGTGCGGTGCTGGGTGCACTGGATGCGGTGCTGGGAGCACTGGGTGCGGTGCTGGGAGCACTGGATGCGGTGCTGGGAGCACTGGATGCGGTGCTGGGAGCACTGGGTGCGGTGCTGGGTGCACTGGATGCGGTGCTGGGAGCACTGGGTGCGGTGCTGGGAGCACTGGGTGCGGTGCTGGGTGCACTGGATGCGGTGCTGGGAGCACTGGGTGCGGTGCTGGGTGCACTGGATGCGGTGCTGGGTGCACTGGATGCGGTGCTGGGAGCACTGGGTGCGGTGCTGGGTGCACTGGGTGCGGTGCTGGGAGCACTGGGTGCGGTGCTGGGAGCACTGGGTGCGGGTGTGGGGCTTGGAATGTGCCGTGCTCGGTGCCCGCATCCCATCGGCTGCCTCGGCTGTGCCGGGAGCCCTCGCTCTGCCGCATCCCTGTGCCGTGCCGGGCGTGTGGACTGCAATGGGTGCCCGTGGCACAGCACCGTGCCATAGGGGGGGACTGTGTCTACTGGGTGCATCCGTGTCGTGCCATGCACCATGCACCCAGGCCGTGCCAGGTCTCCATGCCATGCACCCTATGCACCCACACCATGCAAGGTGCCCATGCCACGCACCCATGCCACGCTAAGTGCCCATGCCATACTGGGTGCCCATGCCATGCCATGCACCCATGCCAGGCTGGATGCCTATGCCATGCCACACTATGTGACCATGCCATACTGGGTGCCCATGCCATGCCATGCTGGATGCCTATGCCATGCCACACTAAGTGCCCATGCCATACTGGGTGCCTGTGCCATGTCCCTGTGGTATACCAGGCATCCAGACCACACCAGGTCCCAATGCCAAGCACCCATGCCATGTTGCTGCCCATGCCATGCTGTCTGCCCATGCCATGTCCCCATGCCACACTGATGGCCATGCAGTGCCGTGCACCCATGCCATGTCCCTGTGCCACACTGGTGCCTGTGCCATGCTGTGTGCTGCATGCCCTGTCCCCATGGCACACTGGTGCCCGTGCCACACTATGTACCCATGCCATGCCCCCATGCCATACTGGTGCCCATGCAATGCCATGTCACCATGCCATGTCTCCATGCCACACTGCTGCCCATGCAATGCCAGGCACCCATGCCACGTCCCTGTGCCACATTGGTGCCTGTGCCACACTATGTCCCCATGCCATGTCTCTGTGCCATGACTCCATGCCACAGTGGTGCCCATGCCATGCCATGTCCCCAAGCCATGTCCCTGTGCCACAGGTGGGGCCCATGCAATGCCATGTCTCCATGCCATGTCCCTGTGCCACACTGCTGCCCCTGCCACACTATGTCCCCATTCCATATCCCCATGCCATATCCCTGTGCCATATCCCCGTGCCACACTGCTGCCCATGCCATATCCCCATGCCATCTCCCCATGCCATCTCCCCATCCCATCTCCCCATCCCATCTCCCCATCCCATCTCCCCATCCCATCTCCCCATCCCATCTCCCCATCCCATCTCCCCATGCCACGCTATGCGCCTCACCTGCAGCAGGAGGTGGTACTTGAGGATCCTCTGCACGGGTTTGAGCAGGAAGGCTCCGAGGGGCAGCGCGTGCCGCAGCCGCTCCTGGCACTCGCGCAGGAACCGCGCCTGGGCCTTGCTCCGCGTGCACTCGGCCAGCGCCGCCACCGAGCTGCGGGCAGGGAGCGAGCTCAGCCCCGGACCGGCCCCATCCCCGGCTCCATCCCCATCCCCATCCCCATCCCTGGCTCCATCCCCATCCCCATCCCATCCCCATCCCCATCCCATCCCCATCCCATCCCCATCCCCATCCCATCCCCATCCCCATCCCATCCCCATCCCCATCCCATCCCCATCCCATCCCCATCCCCATCCCCAGCCCCATCCCCATCCCCATCCCCATCCCCATCCCCATCCCCATCCCATCCCCATCCCCATCCCCATCCCCATCCCCATCCCCATCCCATCCCCATCCCCATCCCCATCCATCCCCATCCCCATCCCATCCCCATCCCATCCCCAGCCCCCATCCCCACCCCCATCCCCATCCCCATCCCCATCCCATCCCCATCCCATCCCCATCCCCATCCCATCCCCATCCCATCCCCAGCCCCATCCCCATCCCCATCCCCATCCCATCCCCATCCCCATCCCCATCCCATCCCCATCTCCATCCCCATCCCCATCCCCATCCCCATCCCCATCCCCAGCCCCATCCCATCCCCATCCCCATCCCCAATCCCATCCCCATCCCCATCCCCAGCCCCATCCCCATCCCCCATCCCCCCCATCCCCCATCCCCATCCCCCATCCCCATCCCATCCCCATCCCATCCCCATCCCCATCCCCCATCCCCCATCCCATCCCCATCCCCATCCCCATCCCATCCCCATCCCATCCCCCCATCCCCATCCCCATCCCATCCCCATCCCATCCCCATCCCCATCCCATCCCCATCCCATCCCCATCCCCATCCCATCCCCATCCCCATCCCCATCCCCATCCCCATCCCCATCCCCATCCCATCCCCATCCCCATCTCCATCCCATCCCCATCCCCATCCCCATCCCCATCCCCATCCCCATCCCCATCCCCATCCCATCCCATCCCCATCCCCTCCCCATCCCCCCCCCATGCACCCCCATCCCCCATCCCCATCCCCATCCCCCCATCCCCATCCCCCCATCCCCATCCCCCCATCCCCTCCCCATCCCCATCCCCATCCCCATCCCACCCCCATCCCCCCATCCCCATCCCCCCATCCCCATCCCATCCCCATCCCCATCCCATCCCCATCCCCATCCCCATCCCCATCCCCATCCCATCCCCATCCCCATCCCATCCCCATCCCCATCCCCGGTGCAGCCCCGCGCTCACCTGGGGTAGTTATTGCAGTACTGGGTGTAGATGGAGAACTCCTGGCTCTGTGGGCAGCAGCAGCACCGTCAGAGCCCACCCGGGGGGCTCAGCACCGTGCATCCCCCCCACCACCAACACCAGCACCAACACCAACACCAACACCGACACCACCGGCACCAGCACTGGCACCGGTGCCTTACCCGGGTGACGAAGCAAACGGCCACGGCCACCGGGTCGCTGGCGCAGCTCTCCAGGTCCTGCAGCAGGGCACTGGGGGCACAGTGGGGATGGAGCGGCCATGAGGTGGGATGGGGTGGGATGGGATGGGATGGGATGGGATGGGATGGGATGGGATGGGGTGGGTTGGGATGGGATGGGGTGGGTTGGGATGGGGTGGGATGGGATGGGATGGGATGGGATGGGATGGGATGGGATGGGATGGGATGGGATGGGATGGGATGGGATGGGGTGGGTTGGGATGGGGTGGGATGAAGGGAGCTCAAAGCTCCTCCAGCTCCAACCCCTTCCACTGGAGCAGCTTGCTCCAAGCCCCTGTGTCCTTGAGCACTGCCAGGGATGGGGCAGCCACAGCTTCCTATGTCCCCCATAGGGATGAATTCCTTCCTTACATCCAACCTGCATCCCCCCTGCTCCAGTCTGAACCCATCACCCTTGTCCCATCGCTCCACTCCATGACGCACCATCCATCCCCAGCATCCTCACAGCCCCCTTCACTGGAAGCCGCTCCGAGCTCTCCACTCACCCCTTCCCCACCCCGAGCACCCCATTGCTCCCACCCTGACAGCAGAACCCCCCCTTCCCATCCATGTGTGTGCCCCCCAACCCGCACCCACCTGCTCAGCTCATAGATGTCCTCAATGTTCCCAAAGAGCGCGCTGACCTGCTCCGGCCGCAGCACCGCCTCCTCGGCATCGATGATCTTACCCAGGTAACCCTAACGGACAACACAACAGCACCGGTGCTCCCACCCAACCCGCCCCATAGCCCCATCCATGGGGTGCCCCACACGCCAGCACCCACCTCCACGATGCTGCGCAGGTCGCGGGCATAGGTGCGCTCCGACTCCACGATCTCCAGCACCACCCGGCCCAGGTAACTGGGCTCAGCACCGGGGTCACCAAACGGTGCCAGGGGGTGCCCGGTGCAGGGTCCCGGCCACCCCCCCCCCGGGGCAGCGTTGTTGTTGCTGTTGTGGTGCCCCTCGGCCCATGGCTCGGCCCCGCTGCTGTGAGCATCCTCCATGGTGCAGCCGGGATGCGGCACCGCGCTCAGGGCACCAGGGGTGGGTACCGGCATTCCGGCATCGCCCGGCACTGGTGGGGGTCTGTGGTGGGGGGGAGAGTGGAGGGGTTATTATGGGGTGCTGGGCATGGTTTTGGGTTAATGGGGGTTCATTATAAAGAGCCCTTGGGTTGAGGTGATGCCCGAGCCCTCCAGGCTGAGCACCAGCACCCCCAAACCCCCCAATTCCTCAGTTATGGATCAAGCAAGGCAGGATAAAACCAGCCCAGGTCCTGGCCAAGGACCGGAGATTTGGGGGTGCCCCCCCCCAACCCCTTACCCCAGTGCCAGATAGCGCATTCCAGGTCCCAGTGTGCTCCCTAAGGACACAGCACCCCGGCCACACCAAACCCCCCCCCCATGTCCCAGCACCGGGGCCGTGCGTCAGCACCGCACCCATGGGACACCTCAGCACCGGCTCGCCCTTCCGGACCCCCGCGTGCCACCGTAACCGGGGCTGCGGCACCCAAACCCCGTCCATTGGCCGCAATGGGGCTGGTGGCCAAGGGGACAGTGTGTGACCAGTGCTGGTGGCACCGGGGACGGTGACCTTCACCCGGGCCACGTGCCGGTGGCGGAGCAGCCCGAGCCCCCCGGCACTGGGGGTGCCAGCACCGAACCGGTCAGGCCGGTTCCCGCCAGCGCCTCCCCATCGCGCCGCATGGCTGCGATCCCGCCACCGCGCTCCCCATGGCTTCCCTGTGCGAGCCCCCAAAACCCCACCATGGTGACCCCCAAGTGGGGCCCAGCACCAAAACCCCACCACAGTGACCCCCAAGTGGGGCCCAGCACCAAAACCCCACTGTGGTGACCCCCAAGTGGGGCCCAGCACCAAAACCCCACTGTGGTGACCCCCAAGTGGGGCCCAGCACCAAAACCCCACCACAGTGACCCCCAAGTGGGGCCCAGCACCAAAACCCCACTGTGGTGACCCCCAAGTGGGGCCCAGCACCAAAACCCCACTGTGGTGACCCCCAAGTGGGGCCCAGCACCAAAACCCCACTGTGGTGACCCCCAAGTAGGGCCCAGCACCAAAACCCCACTGCAGTGCCCCCCAAGTGGGACCCAGCACCATAACAACCCCTTGTTCTGCAGCCAGGGGTCCCCAGATGCTGGTTCTACCATGGGGCACCCCCTCAGCACCACGGGGCAGGGGGATTTGGGGAGCAGCACCCTTCAAACCCCAAATCCTTCTGCTTCGCCCCACAGCCACCTTGAGCAGGGGGACCAAGCCCCACAAGCACTTGGGGGGCACCAGAGCTGCAGCATCACCCCATTGAGCCATCCCCCATCACCACCTATGCTGGGGAATGAGGGGACCCCCGTGTGGCACTGGGGGGAGGGGGCCATACCCTCTATGGGGGGGACACCGATGCTCCCCAGCGTGATGGGATTTGCAGCCACCGCATCCCGGCCCCGACGGCCACCCCCGGCCGCCCTAATCCGCTGGGGATTACAGCACCGGCCCCACGTCACCCCCACCGCGCCCGCTCCGCTTCGGATTAGCCCTGACCTTCAAGCCCCAGCCCCATAGCGGGGCTGCCGAGCTGGATGCGGCCCATACCCCAATGGGATGCTCCCGTTCAAACCGCCCCCCCCCCGGGCCCTCCAGAGCCATATAAGGGCAGGCGGTGCCCCGTTTCCAGGCGTTTTCCACGGATCCCAGCGTTCCCTGGGAACGGGCAGGGGCGCTGCGGGCTCCGGCGCAGCTGCCGCGGCTCGGCGCGCCCGGCCCCGGCTGGCACCGACGGGGCCAACGGGCACCCGGTGCCATGGGAGGGATGCGGGGCACCCCCTCCTGCTCCATAGGGGGATGCGGGTCCCGCATCGCAGCCCTCGGGGGCACCCCATGTGCCGCAGCCCCTCGGTCCCCCCCACCACCAGCCCTATGGGTGCTTGCTCTTTGGGGTCCCAGCACCCCCCAGGACCCACAGCTCTGCCCCATTGCTCACCCCGTCCTGCCCCACTGCAACTCAAGGCCTTGGGTACCCCGGAACCCACAGCTCCTGCCCCACTGAGACAAACAGCAGCGGCCCTACCGGCACCCACAGCACCGGGCCCCACGGCTCCTTCCAGCACGGACCCACGGCAACACAACAGCTCCCACCACACCGGGACCCACGGATCCGGTTCCACGGGGGTGCGATGGATCCCACCCTCACCGGCATCCACGGCACCCATGGATCCCACCGGTACCCATGGATCCCACCCTCACCGGCACCCATTGCACCCATGGATCCCAACCCACCGGCTCCCATGGATCCAACCGGCAACCATGGATCCCATCCCACTGGCACCCATTGCACCCATGGATCGCATCCCACCAGCACCCATTGCACCCATGGATCCCACCCCACCGGCACCCATGGATCCCACCGGCACCCATGGATCCCACCCCACTGGCTCCCATGGATCCCACCCCACCGGCACCCATTGTACCCATGGATCCCACCCCACCGGTACCCATGGACCCCACCGGCACCCGTGGATCCCACCAGCACCCATGGATCCTACCCCCCGGCACCCATGGATCCCACCCCACCGGCACCCATGGATCCAACCGGCACCCATGGATCCTACCCCCCCGGCACCCATGGATCGCACCCCACCGGCACCCATTGCACCCACGGATCCCACCCCCCCGGCACCCATGGATCTCACCCCACCGGCACCCATTGCACCGATGGGTCCCGCTCCACCGGGACCGATACCGGGACCGGGACCGACGCCTCCCTCCCTCCCCTCCCCATGGGGACCCCGTGTCCCGGGGCCGCACTCACCGCGCTCCGCCGCCGCCCCGGCCCGTCCGTGCCCGCAGGAAGCGGCGGGAGAGCCCCGGGGGCGGGGACTGCGCCCGCCCCGCCCGGGCTGCCCCGAGCCGAGCGGCCCCGCCGCGAACGGGGAGCGACCGGTACGGGCCCGCTATGGGACCAGTGCGGTGCCGGGTGCCGTCGGGGCATTGGTACTGGTAGGGTCCCACTATGATACCAGTATGGTGCTGGGCATGGTCCCAGTATGGTACCAGTATGGTGCTGGGAACGGCCCCAGTATGGTACCAGTATGGTGCTGGGCACGGTCCCGGTATGGTACCAGTATGGTGCTGAGCACGGTCCCAGTATGGTACCAGTATGGTGCTGGGAACGGCCCCAGTATGGTACCAGTATGGTGCTGGGCATGGTCCCACTATGGTACCAGTATGGTGCTGGGCACGGTCCCGGTATGGTACCAGTATGGTGCTGGGCATGGTCCCAGTATGGTACCAGTATGGTGCTGGGCATGGTCCCACTATGGTACCAGTATGGTGCTGGGCACGGTCCCGGTATGGTACCAGTATGGTGCTGGGCATGGCCCCAGTATGGTACCAGTATGGTGCTGGGCATGGTCCCAGTATGGTACCAGTATGGTGCTGGGAACGGCCCCAGTATGGTACCAGTATGGTGCTGGGCACGGTCCCGGTATGGTACCAGTATGGTGCTGGACACGGTCCCAGTATGGTACCAGTATGGTGCTGGGCATGGTCCCACTATGGTACCAGTATGGTGCTGGGCACGGTCCTGGTATGGTACCAGTATGGTGCTGGGCACGGCCCCAGTATGGTACCAGTATGGTGCTGGGCATGGTCCCAGTATGGTACCAGTATGGTGCTGGACATGGTCCCACTATGGTACCAGTGTGGTGCTGGGCATGGTCCCACTATGGTCCCAGTATGGTGCTGGGCATGGTCCCACTATGGTACCAGTGTGATGCTGAGCATGTTCCCACTATGGTCCCAGTATGGTGCTGGGCATGGTCCCACTATGGTACCAGTGTGATGCTGAGCACGTCCCCACTATGGTCCCAGTATGGTGCTGGGCATGGTCCCAGTATGGTCCCATTATGGTGCTGGGCATGGTCCCAGTATGGTCCCAGTATGGTGCTGGGCATAGTCCAGGCACTGTCCTGATACCAGCCCAGTATGGAGCTGGTGTTGTCCCAGTGTGGTGCTGGGCACGGCCCTGGGATGATCCCGATACGTTCCCAGTTCCCTCCCAGTGTGTTTCCAGTGTGATGCTGGGCACATCCCCAGTGTGGTCCCGGTACGGTCCTCAGGTGCCCTGCGTGCGATGTGTGGGGACCCACCAGGGCACCCTGTGGGGTTCTACCGGTGCCAGCGGCCATGGGGCCCCCAGCGCCGTGGGGCAGATGTGGGGTACCACAAGTGAGCCCCACTCCCGCAGCAGCCTGATCCCAGCTCCATCCCCATCCCTGTGTCCCCATCAGGACACGGGATCCCCAGAACCTGGGTACCACCCTGTCCCCATGGGCCCCACAGCGGCCCCTTCCCAGACACCCCCAAATTCCCCCCTTTCCCAGACACCCCTCCCTATTCCCTCTCCCCACACCCCTCTTCCCATACCTGCTCTCCCCACATCCTTTCCCCAACCCACACCGTTCCCTCTCCATAGACCCCTACCCATATCCCCCTAAATCCCCTTGCCCAGACCCCCCCAATCTCCCTCCACTTTCCCTCTCCCCACATCCCCATTCCCCCTCCCACAACCCCCATATCCCTCCCATACCCCCCCAATTCCTCCCCCTTTTCCCATACGCCCCCATCCCACCTCCTCCATCCCGCCCGCCCGCTAGGGGGCGCCTCCACAATGCCCCCCCTCCTCCTCTATCCCCTCCCTCCCTTCCCGTGAGGCCCCGCGCGGGCGAGGCGGGAAGGCGGCCGGCAAGATGGCGGCGGCGCTGCCGGAGCGGAGCTGCCTGGAGCTGAGCGCGGCCGCGCGGGGCCCAGCGCGGAGGGTGCCGGAGTTCGGCTTCATCCCCCCGGGCACGGCCCCGCTCCCCGCCGGCCGCTACGGGGACAGCGCGGGCGGCTTCTGCTACCGGGACAGCGCCCAGCTGGCGGCCGGCACCAGGAACCGCTTCGTGAGGTGGTGAGTGAGGGAGCGGCGGCCTTGAAGTGCTGGGGATGGGGCAGGCACAGCTTCTCTGGGCACCCTGTGCCAGCGCCTCAGCACCCTCACAGGGAAGAGCTTCTGCCTAAGAGCTCAGCTCAGTCTCCCCTCGGGCAGGTTCAAGCCATTCCCCTTGGCCTGTCCCTACAGACCCTTGTCCCAAGCCCCTCTCCAGGTTCCCTGCAGCCCCTTTAGGCACTGGAGCTGCTCTCAGGTCTCCCCTTCAGGAGCCTTCTCTTCTCGTCTGCCCCAGCCCAGCTCTCTCAGCCTGGCTCCAGAGCAGAGCTGCTCCATTGCAGCATCCCCATGGCCTTGCTCCAACAGCTCCACATCCCTCTTGTGCTGCTGCCCCAGAGCTGGGCCTTATCCCCAACCTGAGCTTCCCCTGTTCCCGTCTGAACCCATCACCCCTTATCCTGTCACTGCAGTCCCTATGAAGAGTCCCTCTCCAGCATCCCTGCATCCCCTTCACACACTGAAGCTGCTCTGAGCTCTCCACGCAGCCCCAGTGCCCTCAGGCTGGCTCCATACAAGAGCATCCTCGTGGCCTCTGACCTCACTCCAACAGCTCCACATCCTCCTTGTGCTCTGCCCCAGTGCCAGTCCTTATCCCCAACTGAACCTCCTCTGTTTCACTCTGAACCCATCATCATTGTCCCATCGCTCCAGTCCCTATGAAGAGCCCTCCCCAGCATCCCTGCATCCCCTTCACACACTGGAGCTGCTCTGAGCTCCCCACGCAGCCCCAGTGCCCCCAGCCTGGCTCCATCCGGAGCTGCTCCAGCCCTGGAGCATCCTTGGGGCCTCCTCTGGACCCGCTCCCCACTGAGGAGGCCCCAAGGGCTCTGCCCTCACCTTTTCCCCTCTCTCTGTCCCCTCAGGACCACGTCTGGAGACACCGTGGAGCTGGTGGAGGAGTCCCTGGATGTGACCCTGCTCCACAACACCCTGCGCCTGCGCATCCACGGCTGCCCCCTGCTCCCGGGGGGGGTGCACGCCTGCGAGGCTCAGAGCCACCTCGTGCTGCTGCTGGTGACGGGGCAGAGCGTGCACCGCCTGCTGCTGCCGCACCCCTCCCGCCTGCACCGCAGCGTGAGTTACCCCCTTGCCCCCCTTCTGCCCCCCCTCCTGCCCCCTTCCTGCCCCCCTTCCTGCCCCCCTCTTCCTGCCCCTCTTCCTGCCCCCCTTCCTGCCCCCCTTCTGCCACCCTCCTGCCCCCCCCTTCCTGCCCCCCTTCCTGCCCCCCTTCCTGCCCCCCTTCCTGCCCCCTCCTGCCCCCCTCCTGCCCCCCCCCTCCCCCCTTCCTGCCCCCCTTCTCTCCTGCCCCCTCCCCCGCCCCCCTCCTGCCCCCCTCCTGCCCCCCTTCCTGCCCCCCTCTCTCCTGCCCCCCTTCCTGCCCCTTCCTGCCCCCCCTTCCTGCCCCCCCTTCCTGCCCCCCCTTCCTGCCCCCCCGCCCCCCCTCCTGCCCCCCCTCCTGCCCCCCCTCCTGCCCCCCTTCCTGCCCCCTCCCTGGGACAGGGTTTGTTTGGGTTGGGGTATGGTCCAAACCCCCCAAAGCTCCATCCCCTATCCCCATGCTTTCTTCCAGGACAGGGTTCATTTGGGGCAGGACTGGGTTCATTTGGGTTGGGATAGGGTCCAAACCCCCCAGAGCTACATCCCCTGTCCCCATCCCCATACTTCCTGCTGGGACAGGGTTCATTTGGGTTGGGATAGGGTCCAAAGCCCCATCCCCTATCCCCATCCCCATACTTCCTGCTGGGACAGGGTTCATTTGGGTTGGGATAGGGTCCAAAGCCCCATCCCGTATACCCATCCCCTTACTTCCTGCTGGGACAGGGTTCATTTGGGTTGGGATAGGGTCCAAAGCCCCATCCCGTATACCCATCCCCATACTTCCTGCTGGGACAGGGTTCATTTGGGTTGGGATATGGTCCAAAGCCCCATCCCCTGTCCCCATCTCCATACTTCCTGCTGGGACAGGGTTCATTTGGGTTATGATAGGGTCGAAAGCCCCATCCCCTATCCCCATCCCCATACTTCCTGCTGGAACAGGGTTCATTTGGGTTGGGATAGGATCCAAACCCCCCAAAGCCCGATCCCCTATCCCTATACCCCATACTTCCTGCTGGGACAGGGTTCATTTGGGCTGGAACAGGGTTCATTTGGGTTGGGATAGGGTCCAAAGCCCCATCCCCTGTCCCCATCCCCATACTTCCTGCTGGGACAGGGTTCATTTGGGTTGGGATAGGATCCAAAAGCCCCATCCTCTGTCCCCATACTTCCTGCTGGGGCAGGGTTCATTTAAGCCTACCAAGAGTTCCCTTCCACCCTGGTACCTTGCATGGTGCCCTGTTCCAGATCTGTGCCCAAACCCCTGTTGGTAACACACACTAAGGATATAACCTTTGCTGAGCAGCCTTTGGGCAGCCTCAAGGCTGCTTCTGCTTCGGGCTCTGGCCCCTCCATGGGGAGAGATTTGGGGCTTTGCAGTGCTTTTAGGGGGGACACAAATGGGAACACGGCCTGAGAGAACCAAAGGGATGTTCCTTGCTGCGTATCATGGAATCACAGAATGGTTTGGGTTGGAAAGGAGCTTAAGATCATCCAGTTCCAACCCTCTGCCATGGGCAGGGACACCTCACACTAAACCATGGTACCCAAGGCTCTGTCCAACCTGGCCTTGAACACTGCCAGGGATGGAGCATTCACAACCTCCCTGGGCACCCCAGCATCCTCCCAGTCGGCATGCTCAGGAATAAGGGGGAAAAGAGGGGTACTGGGGGGGGGCTGTTGGCCATTGTTTGCTTGAGAGCTGCTGTGTGTTGGTGTGCCCATTGGGAACCCTGTGTTCCCTCTTCTTGTCCTTCCCTCCCTGTTCCCTTCCCTGTGAGGGTGCTGAGGCCCTGGTGCAG